GTCGGGCAAGGCCTGTCACCCGGAGTGGAAAGTGGGGCCTCGGGCTGTGCCCGCGAACTTTCTGCAAGGCCGAGGTCCGGGCGTCCCGGGAGACCGGGCGGGGAGGCTTCCCGGAGTGTGTGCGGCCGGAGCGGGAGCTTCTCGGCTCCGACTCCTACGCTGCCATCCCGGACGGAACGGAGCTCCGGCAGCTTCACCCAGACGGTGCTGCGGACGGATTTTCTCCAAAGTTGTAACTTGCTTTATTTTCTCTGCAGCCTAGCGTTCTCTTTAAACAAAATTGGGAACTTGGCCGCGATGGGAGGACGCTGGGGCCCACACCTCACCTACACGCGCGTTCCTCTCTCCATCCCGTGGGTTTCGCGTCTCCCACCCCCTCCCACCCTCTCTCTGGTTTAATCATATTTTGGAAACGACGAGGTCTTTTGTTGGGTGGGCACCCCTTGATTGGTTGTTTATTTTTTTAATGTGCAACTAATTTGATTAGAATTTCTTCCTGTTTCCAGGCCCTGTGAGAGAAAATTAAGGGCGAGGGAACAAATCCCCCTCATCCCTCTCCCCTTTTAAAAGTTTGGTGAGGCACTGGGAAAGGACAAGTGGGGAGGGGTGGCGGGGGTGGGGGGCGGTGTCGAGATCGGGGGAGGCACGATGTTTGTGAGCGAGGAGTCCTAGGGAACAGACAGACCCGGAAGACTAGGAATTTGCTCAGGAATAACACTTCTTTGGGAGGCTTTAGGCCTTAGTCAACATTGCACCGCTGGGTTCTGGTTTCTGCTTCTTCAACCCTGAGTTAAAACTGAGGGATGGGGTGGACAACGCCGCAAGCAAGAGGCCCGCAGCGGACAGGATCGCAGCCCTTGGCCCTGGTTTAGTACTTTTTGTGGGGGTTCCTGATTTCCCTCCGGAGAGCCTTTCTGTGGACCCAGCATTTCCCTGACTCTCTCAGAGCAACTGTTAATGAGGGTAAAGTCTCTCTCGGGCACCTTTCTGGCCTTGCAAGGGGACCTCACCCAGGAGGGTATAATTCTCACTTTGGTTAGGCCCTGGAGGGACTCTCACTGACTGCCTAAGAATGAGGCATATCAGGTTAAAAATTTTTTTGTCTTTGAAATATTGTGTTTAAACTATTATTTACTTTTAAAGCAAATTGGTTTAAGTGCTTTTGAGAAAAAAAATCCATCTGTAAGCAGAGTGTTCATTTTTAAAAGATGTTAAAACTGCAAGATATCATCATAGAATAGGGGGTTGTAGCTTCTAATTACGGTATATACAATTTCAGAAAGAAATTCCAGTAACCTTTTAAGACAGACTTTATAAATAGCTCACATCAGACCATGGGCCATACTGGAGAACCAGTCTTCTGGGGTTTCTGGAAGAATGTTTGGGATCAGTTAGGAAGTTCTGGGAATTTGGGTAGTAGTTTAATTTCCATAGGAATTTACCTCCTTGTCCAACACTTGGTTTAACTTGGGAGCATTGGTAGAGTCCTCAGAGTTTGGCCAGAACATCCCAAACTTTTCAGTCGACAATAAGACCCCGAGAAGTTATTTGTTTGTTACAGGTCACCATCATGCACAAAAATCAGATTAACTGGTTGCTTTCCAGTTGCCTTTGACTCTTAGCAACCTTCTAGGACTGTGTAGAACTGTCCCATGGTGTTTTCCAGGCTCCCATTTTTATGGAAGGAGCCCAGGGGTGCAGTGATAAAGTACTCCAATTGAACGGTCATTGATTTGAACATTCCATTTGGTCCAGGAGAGAAAAAGGTTGCAGTCTGCATCCATAAAGCATCCCACTTCCTCACCCACAGTTCCTCCAAACACTGAACCCCTTGCCGTCAAGTGGATTTGACTTCATAGTGACCCTTTGGGACAGGGTAGAACTGCTTCACAGGCTTTCCAAGCTGCAAATCCTCATGGAAGCTGACTACGACATCTTTCACCCAAGAGGGACAAAGTTCTGCCTTGCCCTACGGGGTTGCTTTCAGTGGGATGACTCTATGGCAAGTGGGTTATGGTTTGGAAAATATTGAATGAATTTAAACTTTATGGAAATAGACTGCCATATCTTTCTCCTGACAAGCAGTTAGTGAGTGTGAACTGCTGACCTCTTGATTAGCAGTCCTGTGCTTAATCACTCTGCTGCCAGAATGTCCTTTACGTCTAATATCGGATTGTATTGATTGATTGGGATAAGCATATCGTGTGCTTTTTATGCAGAGTCTTTCAACTGAAATGATATGCATTAAGGTTCACAGAAACGAAGTCACTTGACCAACCATCACATAGCTATTCCAGTACAGCTTTTTGGATGGAAATTTTCTTTATCTGCACTACCCAGTATGGTGGCTGCTGGACCATCTGAAACGTGGCTGCTGTGACTGAGGAAGTTCATTTACAATTTCACATTTAGTTATTTTAAATTTAAAGGTTTTCTTTTATGGTTCGTGGGTACCACACTGGAGGCCTTTCTGACTCCCACATTTCTCCAAGTTCAGTGGGATCATGCTGCTTTTCAGCGGCGAAGTGCATGGCGCTAACGGAAAGGTCGGCAGAGAACCAGCGTCTCGAGCCCCTTGGTGAGAGAAAGATATGACAACCTGCTTCCCTAAGTCTTGGCAGTCCGACGGGGCAGTTGTACGCTCTCCTCTAGAGTTGTAATGATTTGGGATCGATTAGCTCAGTTTTCTTTGCTCCGCTCCATCTTCAGAAGATGCTCAGATTCGGTCCGTAAATGGAATATAAATGTTGAGTTACCTGTAGTTCGTCTTCGCTTTCACAAGTTGAATGGATAAAATGGGGCACGTTCTTTGTTTTCAAAAGGTGTACATGTTATAGTTAAGACTGATGGACAGAAAGTTTAAGTGACTTTTTCTTATTTGGTTGGAAACATTGTCTATCTAGCAACTGCTGAAAAGAGTAGTCAGTGCTTGTGGGTTATTGTAGTGTATTGAGGTAATATGGGAAGTCACTAACGTCGTGAGGTGACATCAAGCTGGCTCCAATTCATAGCTTACCTTAATGTTTAACAACAGAATGGAAGATTGTCCCAGTTCTCTGCCATTCTCACCAGCGTGGCTGTTAGATTTCTCCGCAGCAGTTTACTATGTTTCCCCACTTACGGTGGGGAAACAGCCAGTTCCCAGATGTGTGTGTTTACCTGTTCTTTGTGAGATTTGGACGTGCCAGATAGATAATAGAGCCAAGTCATCAATCACTTTTCCTTCTGTGCTTCCAAAATGTATTTGAAGTTATAATATTGACTTATTATCAGAGTATAAAGTGTAAGTGTACAACACTCTAGTCTAGACTCACCCATCAATTGGGAGGATTGAATATGATTTAAATAAACGGCAAGGGCCTTTTGATGACTAATGGCCAAATCATTTTTCTGACTTGTGGACTTAATTAAATCCAGTGCATTTTAGCATTTTATTTGGTAGAGAAATTGCGATAACTGTCTGATTTTGTGTGAAGTAGTAAAACTCCAACTTACGTAAAAGTAAGCATTTATTTAAATTCTACAAATAGCTTGGTACTTCCCCCCCCTCATGCCACTGTTAAGAAATGATAGTCTTTTGTTGGGGAAAAATTGCATCATATGTCCCAGAAGGGCCTACATCAGTTAGCTTTAGATTATTCTGTTAGTTTAGTGCTGTGTGAATTGCATTACCTCTAGCTCTTTGGTAATTGCAAATTCAACTTCAGGTAAGGCCCCAGTTAATGACACTGTTCAGATAGCTGGAATGCTCTGTACCTATTTCTGATCATTGAGAGCATTGTCCTGTTTCCAAAAATGGTGCTGTAAATAAGATTATAATATCCTAGTAAGTGAAACAAGTGTGTGTGTGTGTGTGTCAAAAGTTCATAGAAGAATCATCTTTTAATTCCATTTTTTTTTCATGGACTTTTTGAAGCCCTCTCTTATAGAAAATATGGGTTAGCCCATGATGTGTGGGTTAATTTGTAGGATATTGAGATGCTTGAAACAAAGGAGAGGTTTACAATAATCTTAAGAGATGCCAGAGATTAGAAACCCATACCCTTAGTAGAGGCTGCATCTGAGTATCACTTTGAAATCAAAGGGTTAGTGTGTTCTTGATAAGCTCTGGAATCTCTTAGCCTCAGTTTCCGAGTTTTAGTATAAAGAAAAAGCACCATTTCAAATGGTTGTTACAAGGGAATGATTGAAAGTGTTTGGTGAGTCTTCATACAAGGGTTTATTATACTCCTCCCATCAAGTTGATTCTGACTTAAAGCAACCTTGTAGAATCAAGTAGACTGCCCTGTGGGCTTTCTGTGGCTGTGATCTTCAGTCAGTACAGAGCATCTCCAAATTATGCTTGCGCTTTTTTTCGCCTTTATGATGAATAAATAAAGCTTCAAGCTGTACGCTGATTGCTGTGTTTCATTTTCTCTGCATTCCTAGTGGGATAGTCACTTGATAAGTCGTCAACAGTTAGGACACACGCACACAAAAGGTTATGACACATACATTGTCTTATCTCCGTTTTTGTCGCTGTTGCCCTCGATGTGACCCGTCGCAAGGCTAGCAGTCCTGATGTGAACAGGGGAGACTGACTTGATCCAGCACATTTCTTGGGGTGGATGGGGAAAGATGCAGTTTCCTAGAAGCTTCCAGTGCTGACTGATGGAGATAACAAGGTTTTAGTCTTCCTATGCTACTTTAATAAGCCTATTATTTGAGCTAGGAATGATTCCAGCCCAGAGTGGAGGGAGAGAACCATAGTGTAGGGGGATTTTTTGCAACCTTCTTAGGTTTCTACTTTAGAGAAACTGTGTCTTCCCCTTCGAGGCTAATCCATTAAATGACAATTCTATGTGCTCAGACGTTGTTTTCAAGTAAACATTCATTCTTACAGCTGTTGGGAATGCACTTAGATGATGGAAGAACAGCTTGGTTCTTTAGTTTACTCTGAATGCTTTTAAATATATTAAAATATTGCCATAAGCATTTTCCCTTGAAATACACAATATGATACTGCATCATGTGTTTTAAGAAGGCAGAGTACTTGACTCGTCGTGGCCAGATAGAGACAGGTGTCTTCTGCTCTGTAGAAACCAAGCAGTCTCACGTGGTACTTGAGTGGTTTGTAAAGCACAGATTGAGACCAGAGTCCTCAGGCAAATCTGGAGAGTTGTTCAGGCCACTGATCAGGTCTTGGAGACCAAAGGCATGTGACTTGAGGTTGGGATCTGTGAGACTTTCAAATCAGTGATTGGTGAGATTGGAAAAAAAAAACCGTTTGTAAATCAGGGAGAAAGAGGAAGCTCTGTATCCGGGTAAAGTCTCAGAAACTCACACGGGCATTTCTACCCTGCCCTATAGGGTTGCCATGAGTGTTGAGATATGTGTAAATGGGGTAAGAGAGACTGCAATAGTCTGCTATCTACAGGAGGGATGTCTCTTAATTTAACAACCAATCAATTCTTTAATCCCTTTCTTGGTTCCCAGTTGAGATGTAGGAGGTTAGCATTTTGGAGATACTGGCTTGTAATTTCTGATGCCCTTAGCTGATGAGATGCCCTTGGCAGTATGGTCCAGGCATCAGTTCTGGAGAGGTCTTGTTGCTGTACCATCATTAAAATGATTCTGTTCTAGGCGACTGAGGATTCGGGGTGGTGTGGGAAGATGGGGCTTGAATGAGTTGGTGTTGGGCTAAATTTAGCTTTGATTGAGGTTGTAGTAGTGAGTGTTTAAAAGGTGCCTTGTATTAAGTGATTACATTGGTGTTTGACAGGACTAGGATCTTTGCTTATGGAATATTTTTTGACTTTTTTTGTGTGTGTGTGTGCAGAGGAAAGGCATTTTCCTCACCTCACAGCTGGCTACTTACTCCTATTTTTGAAATATTTTATCAGGAATGGTGTCAGCCACCACATCCAGGGCAGGATAGTGGCAACTCCACTTTGGGCTTTTATGAAATTTAAGAAATGTTAAAAATTGTAGCACCCACAGACTACAGCTGAAACAGAATCAGTATTCTAATTTAGGGTTTCTTATTCATTTGTGTCTTGGAAGAGCTGATAAAATGTTTTTATAAAGGCGACCAGTTGGAAACAATGAACTGGTGGTCTTTGAGTTGGCGCTGACCTTTGGTTAGCAGTCGGCACTTTAACCTAAACCACCAGGCCCCCCAGGAGGGGAAAAAGAGACAGGAATGAAATTGGCGTAATACTAACTCTTAATGTCCAATTATGAAAATCTTTCCGTTGAAATCATTTCCAAGAGCGTAGTCTTTATATGTAGCCCTGTGTTGGAGAAATAATTGCAGATTCTAAAATCCTCGGAAGTGAGATGGTTTTTAATTTATTCATAAAGGACTCTGTCTGCTTCTCCCGCAGTGTGAAAGAAGGTCTCTTGAAAAAACCATTGTTCTGGATGTACCTAATTGGGGATTTGCAATTATCCAGTTAGTCTAGGATCAGGTTGCCTTTCTGGTCTGCATGGAAAGGTTTTCATGTCTACTTCAGGAGGTTGTATGGGTCGTAGGAGCCTGTTGGCTTCACTAGAACAAACCACGTGTAACTCACTGCCTTGGTGAAACAGCCGCTCACTGAAAAGCAGTGGGAAACTGCGGTGTGGGTTGAAGGGAGGCAGCCGGGGCACTTGGGCCAGAGGTGCAGGGTGCATGGGAGTTCTAGCTGTTGGGAGACCACCATGAAGTAGACATTGCTTTCCCCATTGCTCGCACTTGCACTGTGACCGCCTTAGCGGCACAAGTTAGGTCCCTGTCTGTGTGCAAAACAAATGGGGGCAGTAAGTCACGCCGTCCCCTCATCTCCAGTCAGATTCAAACAAAGCCTGCCAATTTGCTTTGGAGTTTTTCTGTCGAAACCTTGTTTTTCTGCTTGCTCCTTCCCCTGTCACCTGTAAGCACTTGATGGCAGGTTGGTGGGAGCAGGTGTTAGACTTTAAAGACATCTTTAGTTGCTCAGCTCCTGCCTCCAGGTTTGGACCGACTTCGGCAAGTCCTGAGACAGACTCGTTCCTTACTCGGCCTCTTCCGCTGCTGTCATGGGCGCTTGGCTCCAGCCTGTGTAGGAATTTAGAGGATGAAAGAATAACTTTAAGACACATATTTTGTAATGCAGGCCTTTCTAGGCGGTGGGTATATTACACCCAATGATTCACACCTGAAGTTCCCTAGTAAGTGACTGGGGAGTCCGAGTTGGTCCCCTTGTTGCCCTGTGGTAGGATTTTAGATATTAAACTCTTGTTTTGCTTGTATTTAATAGATTCTCTGTCTGTTTTGTATCTCCTATTGATGATTTAAGAAGAGACCTTATTTAGATATTGGTGTTTCAAATCGATCCTTTGGGGGTCTTAACTCAAAAAAATTCCAATTTAGAGTAGAAGTAACCCAAAACTAAACACTGCCATTGAGTGGATTCAGTAGAACTAAAGATTAGTCTAAATGAACTGAACAAATCCGAGGATGCTAAACAAGAGTGAAAATTATTCCCACATCATCTCTATTTAGTTGGGGGAGGGAGGGCCTGGCTGCCACCCCCCTCCCCAGGTAGGGATGTAGATGCAGCTTTCCCCCTCCTTCAT